TTCCTGGAGCTCACTTGGTAGCCCAGGCTGGCCTCGAACTCACAGAGATCCGCCTGCCTCTGCCTCCCAAGTGCTGGGATTAAAGGCGTGCGCCACCACGCCCGGCTGAATTACTACATTTTTGTAATTAGCCAATGTGAATGGATTGTATCTTAACTGTTTTTGTTAATGTGCTGTCTTTGTGCTTTGCATAATGTGTATGTATGTTGTATTGCCATCCCTTGCATTGGTACCTGAATGTTTTAAGTAACTGACAAACTTTACATTGTAATGAATGGCCCCTCTCTTTTGTGCTGGTTTTCCTAAGTAACAGGCTGTCAATGTCTCCTATTAAAAAGCTAACTGTTGAAAGTGAATGTTTTCATAATTTTTTCTGAGTATTTGCATAAGTTGAACTACAATTTTCTAGATAACTGTTTTACAAACTTAACACAGCAGTGTAAAAGTGTAAGATTTACTATCCGTCAATTTCAAACTACTAGAAATGTTTATATTTTCCTTTGTATGTATTATAAGCAATGAATAAAACTTAGGGTGGTTATTATTAAAGTTAAAATAAGATTGTTAGTTTATGACCAGCATAGTCTTTCACAGGATCATCACATTAAACAGAATTGAACTAGGAGAAATATTTATTTCCTTATATTTCCCCATGGTCTCAAATAATTTTCCTAGAATGATTTTGTTCACCAAGTGGAATGAACTCATGCTTGATAAGTAAATACTGTGGTCTGGGGTTGAGAACAGCACAATGGGGGAGGGAATGCCCTTCCTTAAAGACCCTTGCTCTTAGAAAACTTTAGAAAGTTCTTAAGTTGAAAGTTTGCTCTTTGAAACCTGTTCACTCTGTTGCCTTCCTTCAAAGTGTTTCTGGGGGGAAAATCAAATAGGAATATAGAGAAGAAAAATCACTAAACCTCTAAGTAGGAGGATGTTACGCAAACTCTTTCAGAAGTGAGCCAGTGGTCCGAGCACACACACCTCACTGCACAGTTTGTCCGAACGCACACACACCTCACTGCATGGTTTGTCCGAGCACACACACCTCACTGCATGGTTTGTCCGAGCACACACACCTCACTGCATGGTTTGTCCAAGCACACACACCTCACTGCAGTTTGTCTGAGCACACACACCCCACTGCATGGTTTGTCCAAGCACACACACCTCACTGCAGTTTGTCCGAGCACACACACCTCACTGCGGTTTGTCTGAGCACACACACCCCACTGCATGGTTTGTCCAAGCACACACACCCCACTGCATGGTTTGTCCGAGCACACACACCCCACTGCATGGTTTGTCCGAGCACACACACCCCACTGCATGGTTTGTCCGAGCACACACACCTCACTGCATGGTTTGTCCGAGCACACACACCTCACTGCATGGTTTGTCCGAGTGCACACACCTCACTGCATGGTTTGTCCGAGCACACACACCCCACTGCAGTTTGAGCACACACACCTCACTGCAGTTTTTCCGAGCACACACACCTCACTGCACGGTTTGTCCGAGGGCGCACACCTCACTGCAGTTTGTCCGAGCACACACATCACTGCAGTTTGTCCGAGCACACACACCTCACTGCAGTTTGTCCGAGCACACACACCTCACTGCAGTTTGTCCGAGCACACACACCTCACTGCAGTTTGTCCAAGCACACACACCTCACTGCATGGTTTGTCCGAGTACACACACCCCACTGCAGTTTGTCCGAGCACACACACCTCACTGCAATTTGAGCGCACACATCCCACTGCATGGTTTGTCCGAGCACACACACCTCACTGCATGGTTTGTCCGAGCACACACACCTCACTGCAGTTTGTCTGAGCACACACACCCCACTGCAGTTTGTCTGAGCACACACACCTCACTGCATGGTTTGTCCAAGCACACACACCTCACTGCAGTTTGTCTGAGCACACACCCCCCACTGCAGTTTGTCTGAGCACACACACCCCACTGCATGGTTTGTCTGAGCACACACATTTCACTGCATGGTTTGTTCGAGCACACACACCTCACTGCAGTTTGTCCGAGCACACACACCTCACTGCAGTTTGTCCGAGCACACACACCCCACTGCAGTTTGTCCGAGCACACACACCTCACTGCATGGTTTGTCCGAGCACACACACCACTGCATGGTTTGTCCGAGGGCGCACACCTCACTGCAGTTTGTCCGAGCACACACACCTCACTGCAGTTTGTCCGAGCACACACACCTCACTGCACGGTTTGTCTGAGCACACACCGCACTGCAGTTTGTCCGAGCACACACACCCCACTGCATGGTTTGTCGTGTTAATGGTTTTGTGTAACAAGGCTCTTGAAAGCAGAGGAGTGGCTGCCGCCTCTGCAGCTCTGACTCTGGGTGTGGCTAGGAGCAGCCCAGGGGCGGCCTGGCCCCTCTGACACAGGAGCAAGGTAATGTGTGGGGAAACATTTCAGAAAACCGCCATTTATTTCAACCTTTTAAAGACCAGTAAAGGTACCTACAGTCATTATTTTCTTAAATTTGGCAAAAGAACATACAAACAGAATAAGTAGCTTGGAAATGAAATTTAAAAATTTTTGTTATTTATTTATTTATTTATTGTGTGTGTGTGTGTGTGTTTATGTTTATGTGCACACATGGGACATTGTATACTTGTGAATGCCAGAGGACAACTTGCTAGGGTCAGTTCTCATTTGTATCATGTGGATGCCGGGGATTAAATTCAGGTCATCGGGCTTGGAGGAAAGCACCTTTACC